AATTAGTTAAAGGGGAAATTATGAACGGAAAAAAAAACTCAGTGACCAAATGTATACAAATCGAAAAATATATTACCCTTTTAAGTTATTATACGTATTCTAAATTTAACGATTATTTTACTTTAGGATCTTTATTGAGTGGAGGCATATTCTTTAAATTTTATGCAAATAATTTCTTTTTGATTTTTTAAAATATATTTTATATTTTATAAAATAGATTGGATCTCAACTTCAAATATCCTCAGTTTATATATATATATATATATATATATATATATATATTATATATATATATATATATATATATATGTTTGTTTTTTATATCTTATTTCTTTTGTCGAGTATCACAATGGAATTGTTTTTAAGATTTTTTTTTAATTTTAAAAGGTTATGAAAAAAGTTACTTTTTTAGTGAAAACTTTATATATATATATATATATATATATATATATATATATATATATATATATATATATATCTATATATATATATATATATATCTATTGTTTTTTATATCTTATTTCTTTTGTCGAGTATTACAATAGAATTGTTTTTAAGATTTTTTTTTTAATTTTAAAAGGTTATGAAAAAAGTTACTTTTTTAGTGAAAACTTTTTCAATTCAATGTTTTTAATCATAAGTCGATGAAAAAAGTTTCATAAGTCGATGAAAAAAGTTTCTTACTATTTGAATTAGTTTTTTCAATATCTTTTTATTCCAACAATTTATAATTTTTTTTTAATATTTTGTCATTTTTAATATTACATTTAATAACATTTATTTCATATCTGATATATCAAATTAAAAGAACAAACATCAATAATTCATACAGCCTACGTATATATTTGAAATCAAAATTAAAAATTATAGTTAAATTGGCAACACATGTATAACCTAGGTTCATGCAATAACAATTAAGATAGATAAAAGGTTAAATTAGTTAAGTGTAGAAAAAACTTAAGGATTAAAGAAGTGTTTTATAGATGTTTTTGTTAGATAAAATTAGTGGAAATACGACATCGCAAAATATATATATATATATATATATATATATATATATATATATATATATATATAGAGAGAGAGAGAGAGAGAGAGTTATGTTCAAATGTGGATTGACATCTATTGTGTGGACGTGTGGATAATGCTATTCTGTGAGAATTACAAAGAAAATATGTTGTTTGATAATATGATTACGTTCAATCTTATATAATTATTTTAATTATTAAGCATTTTTAATAATTAAATCGTCTATAAGATTATTATACATTTTTTTTAATTATTCTCATACTGTCAGAATGTTATCAGGATGTTTATTGAGTCGTATTCTGTAATAATTAAAATAAATAAAAAACGATGAATGAGAACAAAAATAAATTAGAATTGGTGAAAATCCATTAAAATAACAATAGTTCTGTGAGATTGAACGTATTCACATTACTAAACAACATATTCTCTTAGTAATTTTCATAAAATAGCATTATCCACACAATAGTTGTCCATCCACATTATAACCTAGCCCTATATATATATATATATATATATATATATATATATATATATATATATATATATAGGGAAGGGTTATTTGAAAAACAAAAAAACCCTAAAAATCATAAAAATGCATAAACAAAATACCTAGAGATCACAAAACTTTTTTTTGATATTTTTTATGAAAAAATCGCAGGTTTTTAAAGAAATTCGCTGAAAAAAATTTTAATTTTTTTTTTTTTATAAAAATAAAAAAAAATTTTGATTTTTTTTTCAGCGAGTTTTAATAAAAAGCTGCGATTTTTTATAAAAAAAATTCAAAAAACAGTTTTGTGATCTCTAAGGCCCTATTTGTTTTTCATCTGACCGAGTTGGGTCAGACCTATTAGGCTGACTCGGTTAGCAATAGTTGTTTGATATAAGAACTTGACCCATCTGACTCGGAAATAAGCATCTGACCGGGAAAGGGATTCAATACCAGCTGACTGAGGAAAGCAAGAAACGTTTCCATCCCGTTACCCTTGTCCTAACACAGCGCCTCCTTTCTCTCGCAACCAGCAAGAATCCTCCAGCAAGCACAGATCGAAGTTCCTCCTCGTCTCATCAGGTAAGCATCGATTTCTACCTCCTCATCTGATAATAGTTCCGATTTCTACCATGAACGATTGTTGTTGTCTCGATTTCTGCATCTATTTCATCCATTATTCCCGATTTCTGCATCGATTTCATCCATTATTCCCGATTTCTGCATCGATTTCTGCCATAGTTGCAACTGTTGCTGTGAAGTTTGTAATAGATTAGGTAAACTACCTTTCTTTTCTTTTTAATTTCATCAGATAAAGATTATTGCATTCTTTTTATTGGTTTGTTTATTGAAAATGCTTGGGATTACAGCTGTGTGTAACAGGGTCAATGGTTGGTGTTTGTTATGTGCGTATGTTTTGGTGGTTGCAGCATAACAGTTGGCGTGAGTTGTGTCATGGGGACTTATGAAAGTGGATTGAAGATTGGAGGATTGGTATTCAAACGTTAAATTGAATTGAAGGATTTCATTACAAAATGCATTGCTATGTACAATGCTTCCCTGGAGTTGTCTGGAATTCAATGGTGATGGATATTGACAATATTGCCCTTTTTGGAAATCATGAACAAAGTTGTAATCTAGGGTGAAAAATTATTGATGATTGAAATATGGCTGCAAAAGTGAGGTTTTATGAGGTTCTATTGTTGTTGAAAGTTTTTTCCTGTTAGAATTTTGATTGTTCTATTGTTGTTGAAAGTTTTTTTTTTGTTGAACTTTTGACTTTTGTTGTTGAAATTGATAAATGTTCAGAATTTGCAATTGATTTGGTTGTTGTTCAGTTCATGTTTGTTGTTCATATGATCATTGCTAATGATGTTGATAAATTTATATGTTTAATGATTTTGCTGATTATATTCTTGATGAATTCATCCCTTTTGCTTATTATTGTTGAAAGGGTAAAATGGTCATTTTCGTCAGTAAGCATATGCAGTCAGATTAACAATCAAACAACATAATTTCTTACTCAATCAGGATTTCTTATCCAGACAGATCTTTCTCAGTCAGCGTTTTTTCAGTCAGCAACTATCAAACGGGGCCTAAGTATTTTTTTTATGCATTTTTATGATTTTTAGGGTTTTTTGTTTTCCATAGAACCTAAATCTATATATATATATATATATATATATATATATATATATATATATATATAGGGATGGAAATGGGGCGGGTTTGGGGCGGGGTTGACCATCCCTGTCCCCATCCCCGAGTGTCTAACCTCGTTCTCATCCTCATCCCCATCCCCGACGGATGCGGGGAATCAAATCTCATCCCCTTTGTATTTTGGGCTTTTCCCCAGCCCATCCCCAACTCATCCCCAATCTTTCAACATAATAAACTTAAATTACAAAAAAAAACAAGTTTAATAAGTGATCAAAACCATATGCCATAATCAGATTCTGTTTGCATCAATTATAAAGTTTAACAAACATCAAAACGAAAAGTGATGATTTGGTATACAGATCGTTGAACAAAGTGACAATTGATGAACTCATGGAATTGGGAACATAATTTGGTATATGGACTCTATCTCTGATTGTCTAATATAGATCAATTCATTTTAGTGGACTTAATTCAAATTCAATAAATGATCGTTATACTAATATTACATATATATATATATATATATATATATATATATATATAATATATATATATATATATATATATATATATATATATATATATATATATATATAGTCATCAAAGCGGGGGCGGGGCGGGTGGGGGAGTGTTATACCCGACCCGGCCCCATCCCCGGTTTTAGCATAATGGGGATCCCCAGCCCCGTACCCGGTACCCGTTTTGGCGGGGAATACCCGTCCCCGGTTGGGGCGGGTCAACCGGGTTCCCCATCGGGTCGGGTGAAATTTCCATCCATATATATATATATATCTATATATATATATATATATATATATATATATATATATATATATATATATATATATATATATATATATAGGGAAATGATCAAATGAGAACACCTAAAAGGTTGAGAACGCGAGAACACTTCTGGACCAATCATATTATAAGGGTATATTAGTAATTGTTTATTTATTTTAAATAAAATCAAATTAAATTCAAATCTTAATTTCCTAAAATTTAGTGATAATGATTATCTACCTAAAATAAAATATGAACCGATTTTTTTTATTTCTTTTATTAATGGATATTAAAGATAATTTATATTATTTTTTTTGTCAAATAAAAAATCCTTTTTTTTTCTAATTTATTATTCATCAAAATAATTTCAATCATATATGAATAAAACATTTGTAATTATAAAAATATATGTCTGTAATCCTAAATAATAAATCATAATTTAGAGATAACATTTATAAATGAATAAAAATAAATTCCTAATCATACATGAATATGCTAACAAATAAAAAAAAAATCAACACATTAAAAATTATATTCATAAAATAAAATTTTCAAAGATTGAGTTTATACATTTATATATTTATATTCATAAAAGAATATCCCAAGATAGTTTGATACATTTATACATAATTATATTCAACAATGATTAAACCACTTCAAATGAAAAAAAAAATTGCAAAATTCATCCCAATATCAGCCATTTTCTTGAATTGGTCACAACCCCTTCCTTCTCTTTGAATCAAATGGCTCGCGAGCTTGTGTAACGAGCAGGAGCAGGCACGGAATCTAAAGAATTCTAGCATTCCTTTTTCTTTGATTAATATCTACAAAAATAACAATAACATGTAAAGACAATAAAAATACCAACAAAATATTAAAATGAATGATTAGTAGAAAAACATATGTTGTTATAATCATAAATGATTATGATGAGGGCATGATTGTGTTTTTGCATCTCTTTCAAATAGTAAGCTTGTAAACCATACGTAGCACAAGTCCCGTATGAATATGATTTGTATAAATTGTGATAAGTAAATGAATTTTAGGGTTCAAATGTTGGGATTTCAGATTCAGGGCCATGTGTGAGCTGGTAAACCAAACGTGATAATATACTCCGATAAGGATCATTCCGTCTTTTCTCTTTTAGATAAGATAGACACCTTTCTACCTCCGACTTCACCTCTACATACAACTCATGTACCTTGTCCCTATTCCTTAGCTCCTGCTGTCTCCCTGAAAACCAACGACCATTCGAAAAAAAAAATGTAAATAATTTCCTTATAAACATAACATAACATCACATCACATACCTTGTGTTTCAATTGGGTTTCCAAACAGATAATAAAATCTCCGAGGTAGTTTGGGACGCATCACTGGAAAGTGTACATCTTGGTTTGCTACTTCACCTTCAACGTTACTCCTGTAGTAGTAGCATCACTCATCAGTCATCACATTAAAGAATATATAAAATCATTTCAAGAAACTAACAAACAAAAAGTATGATAGATATTTATGTATAGTTGGATACCTAAGCTGCACGACCTCATCAGTTAATTCCTGTATAAATTGTCTGAGATATGGAATCTTCATTTGGTCCTCATAGTTAAAAATCAACTGAACAAACCAAATTCCCGTAAGTTGTGTTAAACAATAGAATATGTGAGGTGAGCAAATTCACAAAAAAAAAAGTCCACGTACCTCACCAGTATCATCTTCTCCAACAACACCAAAATGTATGATTTTGGCTCCAAACATAGCAGCAATCCTCACAAACTCAGACTGGTCTGGCCAGAAAAACATATGTTGTTATAATCATAAATGATTATTATCAGCGTCTTTTAACCCGATCGACGCATTCATGGGCTGCCCGAGTGCCAATCTGGAAACAATATCTCGTTCGAAAGAGAAAGGAAATCCGATTGCGATCTGAACCAGATAAACACCTCCCTCTCGGTTTTCCATGAATCGGGTTGTAGGAGACCGATTGGAGATCGAGTTGCAGGAGGCCAATTGGAAATCTACTTCAGGTACGATTAGGGCTACGAAAATCAAAGATGCAGATGATGGATATGAGACGGTAAGATGATGAAGGTGTCGATTGTATGTTGTATGAAATTAGGTCAACGAAATAGAGAGGCAGAGAGTAATTATAGGAGTTTACAAAATTAGGGTAATGTTTATTTACCTTAATACCCTTTATAATTTTCTTTAATTTGAAATTTAATTTTTAAATGTATTAATAATTAGAAAAATAACAATTAATTATAGCCACACATCTTAAAAATTAGATGGTCCAGATCTTTTCTCGCGTTCTCAACCTTTTAAGTGTTCTCATTTGATCCTACTCCTATATATATATATATATATATATATATATATATATATATATATATATATATATATATATATGAAGTTAACTATTGGAGATGCTTTTGTAATGTAAATATACAAGCTCGAAGTAGTTTCAATCATATTGGTGGATCCTATTTGTTGAAGGTGTTTTATAACCCTACCTTGTATGAAAAATACATTTTTGTGTAATGAAGGTGTTACAAGAATAATGAGTACCAAAATGTATAAAAACAATGCAACAATATAAGTGCAACATCGATCAATGAATTTGGGCTAAATATTTTAATATTTAGAATGATATAATGTTACATGTAATCAATTATATATAATTAAATTTCCTTAATTATAACAAGTATGATATCATAAGGTATTATAGAGGTTTAATTGACATTTGGTTAATTTGAGGGTGCTAAATGTCATAAAGTAAAAACTAAATTAATTAAAATAATACAAATGTAAATTTGGAAAAACTTAAGAGGGAATTGGAGATATATTGAATCAAGTGGAAGATAAGGGAGTAGAAGTGTAAATGTGCAATTTAAATCGAAAGCATGCATATCTCTACCAGATTTTCTGCATTCTTCGTCAAATCACTACACAAACCCACGAGATTTAGCAGACTTACCCTATAAATAGAATATGAACCTTACTTAGGGTATACGAACTCAAAAACATTTAAACACCGCATAGAAAGAGAAAGAGAAAGATCCGAGAGAGAGACGATCGAGAGAGAAAGAAGGTGAATCAAAACGCGAGTTGCTCTTCTAGCTGTTCTTGTTGCCATTGTTGGATACTTGGATATCTATACCAGGTAAAGCCCTAAACCATGTCATCAAACTTGATTGCTTAAAAACCCATAAACTAATGAAAGTATCGTGGAATCTGATTCTATTCCTCCCTCACACATTTCATCAAACACAATCTCTATTTTGCTATATTTTTCTTGTAAAGTGTTTATGCATTCGTTGTTCTTCATCTTCTATGTATATTTTACTAAATAAACAAACATTCTCTATTAGAGTTTGGATAGAAAAGTTGAACGATGAAGTTACCATGGAAGTAAAATTCTTAAACCAAACACAGACATCGATCATATCTCATCATAATCTCCTAATTCCAACTCTTTATAAAAATTAATCTAATTAATACCTTAAAATTAAGAAGCAAAGGGAGTTGCAACTATGATAGTATAATACAATAGTAAGTCAAACGTAAAATTTTAAATTAACTAGTCAAAAGGAGATAGTTTACCCAATAATATTCTCATCATAACTCCTAATTCCAACTCTTTATAAAAATCAATCTTCATATTCTCTAATTCTGAAATCTGTTTTCTCTTACCATCTTCAATCTTCTCATATATCTCATTAAAGTGTTGGAGTCTGCAATCAATTATAAGAACCTTTATTAATTACCTCAAAAATCAGAAATTAAAATAATAAATCCTCAATTCCTAAAATCAATTGAAAGTTTGAAATCAAAAAATTAAGAAATATCATAAAATAAATCACATATTTTCGGATTTTCATCAGCTTAAATCACATATTTCATTTATCTTTTATCACATATTCAGATTTTCAGCCAAGACAAGAAGAACAGTACTCACAATTTGCTATGTGAGGACTGTAGTTTGTATGATAAATCAGATTAGGAGAACGAAGCAAGTGTCCATACAAGAACTTTCGCTTTTAGGAATTAGGAGAAGTGATAACACAAATAAAATCAGATTAGGAGAACGAATTATGACTTATGGTACATATCTTATAGTGTCCATCATTTTAACAAACTTCTTATACTAACGCCTTGCATATTGGAAATTGAAATTGATATGGATAATCAAGAATCAAAGATTAGTAAAATCTTCAATAGATTGTTGTAACAAATTTTGTAGAAATATTTTCGTTGCAAAGCTAGATAGCTACGGATGAATAATTAATTTACAAATTAATTTCCAATTATTCTGTACGACTATATAAAAACAAAAATAACAAAATATCAAATAAAATTTACACCATAAAATAAAACAAGAAATATTTATTACATGGAAATGAAAATTAACCTAATTCAAAATAAAAACTTTGCAAGAAATAAATCAACACTATATGATCTACAACTTTTGTAGTTCTTTAAAAGCGTTAATAACCGTCATTGACGATTGTAGTTGTCGTTCAAGCTGCTCACATTTTGTGTTGTGTTGTTCATTTTTAGCCTTCATTATTTTCTTCAATTCTTCGTTTTGCTCTTTTTGTTTCCTCAAAAGCTACTTCAATGTTCCAATTAATCATTTTTATCCGGAATATAAGATGGTTCCGTTGTACCGTTAATCACTAGAATCGCCTTTGCAAATGAGCCAAATCCATATAGTCTTCTTTTCTTGTCATGACCACCAATAACATCATAAAATATTTGGTCACCGTCAATTTCTTCACCTACAGCTTCCAATTGTTCCCGTTTTTCTTTAAACTCCACCTATAAAATTATAATAATTTAAAAAGATATCAAAATTATGAATAACATGAAGGACTACAATATAAAACTTTGCACTACAATGAATGTTACATGAATTTTTCGTTCTTCTTCATTTGCAAATGTTACTCCATCATGATTCTTCGTGTGTGTGTATACAAACACAATTCACTATGTGGTGGATCACATCCTAAACTCATTCTCTACGTAAATATCATCAAATGTATAATATAAACATAAACATACAAATTCTGATGAAACATTAAAAAAAACTTACCAAATCAGAAGCAACCTTCAAATGAGAAGCGGTTCCAACGTTATGGGTAGGTTGTGGTATTCCATCAGCCACACCATTACACCTATAGATCTAGTTTTGCTCAGATTTTTTCTTAAATTCTTCTGAATTCCATTTTGCTACCTAGGAGTTCCACACTTCTAGTGAAATATAAGCAGGTTTCTAGACAGTTGGGTTTCTTTTTTTGTTACGCGTGTTGAATAAATATTGATAATAACTTAGTGTCAAGTTATTAAACTAAAAATAACCAAAAAGAAGATAAAGAAGAAAAAACAGACAAAAACCACACATTAATTTGGGTAATTCTAAAGAAAAGACTAATAAGTGCCTTGACTGTCATATAAACGAGGAAATTGATCTAAACACTAAATTACTTATAGATTAGGCATCGTACTTATAATTTAGGCATTGTAATTATGTAGGAGAAAGAAAAGAGCCTTATGATACGTGGATGTAACAGTTTAGGAAGTAGTGAAAAGAACCAATCAAAATTGTTACATCATCATGCTTTTTAATTTAGGTACTTTTAGCATTGTTTGATGCATATTTTAACAAGTAATTTTCTCCTCTTTCTTTCTGATTATGTCAAATTATTAGATAATTGGTTATTGTAGGCTAAAAGAGACTCTATTGGTCTCATTATTAGTGTACGTTTTTAACTAAACTATATATTAATTAAAACCTTGGTTTTGTAAATACAGAGACTACAATGTTTATGTAGATTTTAATAAAGTGTTTCAAATCTATTATAATCCATGGGAATTTCTAAAACAAAATCTGTCATATAACAATTTTGATTGGTTCTTTTCACTACCTCCTAAACTATTACATCCACGTATCATAAGGCTTTTTTCTTTCGCCTGAACTGTTACATCCACAGATCACAAGGCAATGTTTATCAAAAAACATGATGATATAACAATTTTGATTGGTTCTTTTTTATTACCTCCTAAACTGTTACATCCACATATCATAAGACTCTTTTCTTCCTCCTACATAAGTACAATGCCTAAATTGTAAGTACGATGCCTAAATTGTAAGTATGATGCCTAATCTATAAGTAATTTAGTGTTTAGATCAATTTCCTCATTCATATGACATTCAAGGTACTGAATAGTATTTTCTTTAGAATTACCCAGATAATTGTGTGGTTTTTGTTCGTTTCTTCTTCATTATCTTCTTTTTGGTTATTTTTAGTTAAATAACATGACACTAAGTTGTGGTCAATATCTCTTCAACATGCGTAACAAAAAAAAAATCCAAGGCAAGAAACCTGCTCATATTTCAATAGAAGTGTGGAACTCTTGGGTAGCAAAATGGAATTTATAAGAATTCAAGAAGAAATCTGAGCAAAACAAGATCAATAGGCGTAATGGTGTGACTGATGGAATACACAACCTACCCATAATATCAATAGGCGTAATGGTGTGACTGATGGAATACACAACCTACCCATAATGTTGGATCCATTTCTCATTTGAAGGTTGCTTCTGATTTAGTGACTTTTTTTAATGGTTCATCAGAATTTGTATGTTTATGTTTATATTTTGCATTTGATGGTATTTATGTAGAGGATGAAGTTTAGGACATGATCCACCTTATAGTGAATTGTTCTTGTATACACACACGAAGAATCATGATGAAATAACATTTGCATATGAAAAAGATCGAAAAATTAATGTAACAT